TTGAAAAGTCTTTAAAATTGTTATGTTATTTCAGTTCTTCTCAGCCATGATCTCGGCCTTCACGTTGAACTTTGTACTTAGTTGGTATAACGGTCGGAGTGGATGGTTATCTTGGAACGGTCTAGCTAACTTCGGCGTGTTTGAGGTAATTTCACACGTTTTTCATTACCACGAAATCTTTACTTCTTGAAACAGTCACATCTGGTTCTTTATTTTCAGAATAAGAACTACAATATCTGGGAAATACCTTTCTTTCTCGCTGTTGGGGTCATTGGAGGTCTCACTGGTGCTTTATTTAATCACCTCAATATGAAGCTGACGCAGTTTAGGAAGAAGTAAGTTCGTGCTTAGCAGTGCTAAAAATGCTCATCCATTCTCAGATACGTGTCAAGTAAATGGAGACGCTTGGTAGAATGCTTCCTGGTAGCGGCTATGTCTGCATTTACTGGTTTTGTCACTCTTTTTCTTGTGGATGACTGCCAACCGGTTGGGGTTAATCCGAACATAACCGAAGTTAACCAGGTACGGGTTTTTGATCACGCTTTCTTTCATCAAATAGGTCAAGTTTGATATAGATGTGGTGCAAGAAAGGCGAGTACTCGGCTGTGGCCAAACTTTTCTTCCAAAATCCAGAGGAGAGTGTAAAGGCCCTATTCCATAGTCCAGTTAGTAAGTCATAGAATTTTGGTAGTACTTCAGACACCTTTTATGTTATTTTTAGATTCTTTTCGACCTTGGACTTTGCTAATCTTTTCCGTAGAGTATTATCTGCTAACATTATGGACATTTGGGCTTTCGGTACCAGCTGGAGTATTCATTCCTGCGCTTCTGACGGGTGCCGCTTGGGGTCGTCTCTTTGGAATTGGTGTTGGAAGAGTATTCCCAAGCATTGTACGCTACATTTTTTCTTGTTTAAATGTGCAGATCGTTCAGTATTCAAAGCGAATTTTTCAGACAGGTATTGACCCAGGCAAATATGCACTAGCTGGAGCAGCTGCGCAGTTGGGAGGTCTTGTTAGGATGACCATATCTCTTACTGCAATCATCATGGAGGCTACAAAGGCTGGTGTTTACTCCGAAACTGTTGTTTTTAAGCGAATGTCTATATTTAGGATATAACCTTTGGTCTTCCAATCATGTTAGTGCTCATGGTCACAAAGTGGGTCGGTGACATGTTCAATGAGGGATTATACGATATCCATATTGACATCCAGGAGGTTCCCATCTTAGGCTGGCATCCACCCAAAGTTAGCCGGAATATATTAGCAGAGTAAGTGTATACAACCTTTGCAACTTACCCGCTATTTTTTT